GTCATTGGTACACTCCATGATTTTCCATTTTCATCTCTACCATTTCTTGAATATGTTGATCTTAGCATGAACCAGCTCTCTGGTATTATACCCCCTGAAATAGGAAACCTCACTAATCTTGTCTATCTTGACTTGTCGTCTAATCAGTTTTCAGGCGAAATCCCATCACAGTTTGGCTCACTGTCAAAGGTTGAGAACCTCTTCATCATTAATAACCATTTAAATGGTTTCATTCCTGTTGAAATAGGGAGACTGAAATCACTTGAGATTTTAGCCTTACAGAATAACAATCTTTCTGGTCTAATTCCAATAACTCTAGGTGGCTTAACTCAGCTCAAATTTTTGCCCCTTTATTCTAACCAACTTTCAGGTCTCATTCCTAGTGAGTTGGGGAATCTGAAAAACCTCAATGATTTGCAGCTATCCCATAATAAGCTTAGTGGTTCAATTCCAGTTACTTTAGGTTACTTAACTGAGCTCAAAATTTTGTATCTTTATTCTAACCAACTTTCTGGTCTCATTCCTAGTGAGTTGGGGAATTTGAAAAACCTCAATGATCTGGAACTATGCAATAATCAACTTAGTGGTTCAATTCCAATTACTCTAGGTGACTTAACTGAGCTCAAAATTTTGTATCTTCATTCTAACCAAGTTTCTGGTCTCATTCCTAGTGAGTTGGGGAATCTGAAAAACCTCAATGATTTGCAGCTATCCCATAATAAGCTTAGTGGTTCAATTCCAATTTCTTTAGGTGACTTAACTGAGCTCAAAATTTTGTATCTTCATTCTAACCAAGTTTCTGGTCTCATTCCTAGTGAGTTGGGGAATTTGAAAAACCTCAATGATTTACAGCTATCCCAAAATAAGCTTAATGGTTCAATTCCAATTTCTTTAGGTGACTTAACTGGTTCAATTCCAATAACTCTAGGTGACTTAACTGAGCTCAAAATTTTGTATCTTTATTCTAACCAACTTTCTGGTCTCATTCCTAGTGAGTTGGGGAATCTGAAAAGCCTCAATGAGCTAGATTTATCCGATAATAAGCTTAGTGGTTCAATTCCAATAACTCTAGGTGACTTAACTGAGCTCAAAATTTTGTATCTTTATTCTAACCAACTTTCTGGTCTCATTCCTAGTGAGTTGGGGAATCTGAAAAGCCTCAATGAGCTAGATTTATCCGATAATAAGCTTAGTGGTTCAATTCCAATAACTCTAGGTGACTTAACTGAGCTCAAAATTTTGTATCTTTATTCTAACCAACTTTCTGGTCTCATTCCTAGTGAGTTGGGGAATTTGAAAAACCTCAATAATCTGGAACTACAAGAAAATCAACTTACTGGTCAAATTCCTAGAGAGTTGGGGAATTTGAAAAACCTCACTATAGTGGATTTATCCTTTAATCAGCTTACTGGTCTTGTTCCTGTTTCCTTTGGCAATTTGAGAAACTTGCAGACACTAAATCTCGGTGCGAACGAACTTTCGGGTTCTATTCCAAAAGAACTTGCATATGTGGATAACTTGGTAGAGCTGATACTAAGTGAAAATCAGTTTTCAGGCCATTTGCCAGAGCGGCTTTGCCAAGGTGGGAAACTTGAGATTTTCACGGTGAATAGTAACAAGCTTACAGGGCCAATCCCAAGAAGCTTGAGCAAGTGCTCGAGTTTCAAAAGGGTTCGCTGCAATAACAACAACTTTACTGGGAATTTGTCTGAAGCTTTTGGCATCCATCCAGAGCTTCGGTTCATTGATTTGAGCGACAATGATTTTCATGGTGAACTCAGCAGTAACTGGGGAAAATGCAAAAAATTAATTGATTTGCGTGTAGCCAGAAATAACATTAGTGGTTGCATACCAACAGAGATTGGAAATGTCAAAGGGCTTTTAGGACTTGATCTTTCATCTAATCATTTGATTGGGCAGATTCCAAAGGAATTTGGAAAATTAACCTCTCTGGTTAGGCTTTCTGTGCAGAACAACAATATCTCCGGAAT